CAGAGTTTTCTTCAGATATCTGAAGAAGTGTGCATGCACACGAAAGCTCATGCCAATAACAAAGTTAGTTGGTCTCTAAGGTGCTACTGGAAGGAATTTTTTTATTTTGTTTCCACTACGGCAGACCAACACGGCTACCTACCTGTTCCTTTTTGTATATAATTTATGCATACATGTTGGAAATTATATTACAGTAAGTTCGGTAATGTAATATGATATTTACCGATGTAATATAAGAATGTTAACAAATAAATAAAATGCAAATTCAAAAAAGAGGGATAATGGGAGTTGCTGTAGTCTGGGCAGCAGCAAACGTATTAATATTCAGGAAGCAGCAAGGAACCCCATTAGGGTCTGAAAGACCCTGTTCCCTAAAAATAACCTGTCTGGGTTTTGGGGTCTTCCAGGGAGGCCCCTCTCTCAGTCCTGCCCCCCTCACAGGCCTGCTTGGTGGGGGACTCAGGAACCCCCTCCCTGGAGGAACTAAACTGGCTCCTTCCTTGCTGTCCTCCTCCTGTTTTTTGGTTGCAAAAGGCTTTGGGAAACAGACTGCTTTTAATAAAAGGGCTGCTTTTATGTTTTTAAACAGGTTTCATATGCGGATACAGTTTAAATTCAATCAATGTGCAATTGTTTTTTCTATGACTTTAGCGATTCTCGTATTTATCTGTAAGCCGCCTCGAGTCCCATCCCAGGAGAAGTATAAATAAGCATGGAGCTTTAAGAGTTGTGCAGAATTAGGAGTTTTCAACAGGTGTTTCTTACTCCATCTAAGTACCTTCAAAGCCTCTAAATTGCACAACCCTTAAACGCAGACATCACCTGCCTCATTCCATCCTTATCAGCAATCTGCATCCTTATCCCTAGTGCATCACAATACCTTTAACAGCAACACCCACCCTTCCTGATTGAATTATTCTATCTTTCTTGTGCCTCCATCAAAGCCATTTTGACCATGACTTGATTATTGATCCCTCATGATGAACTCATTATTATTTTAATTTTTTAAAGTTTATTGATGTCTCGTGGTCTTTCTGCTTTGCATGCCATTTTAAGTCATACTATGGTAAACAGGACCGCGGAACGTGCTGGCTCTCAGTGGAGAACTTGCAGCGGCTTAACTCCTCCATGTCTGTTTTTGAAAAAGTCCAGCCTGGTACTGAGTTCAGCTGAGGTTTGATTTGGTACAACCCAGGCCTAAGGCAGAGAGGGTGGCGTGGGGAACTGCTTAGCGACAGCCACCTTCCTCAATCTGGAGCACTTTTGCCATCCCTATCAACAACCTCAGATATGCAGATGACACAACCTTGATGGCAGAAAGTGAGGAGGAATTAAAGAACCTTTTAATGAGGGAGAAAGAGGAGAGCGCAAAATATGGTCTGAAGCTCAACATCAAAAAAACGAAGATCATGGCCACTAGTCCCATCACCCATCACCATCAAATAGAAGGGGAAGAAATGGAGGCAGTGAGAGATTTTACTTTCTCGGGCTCCATGATCACTGCAGATGGTGACAGCAGTCACAAAATTAAAAGACGCCTGCTCCTTGGGAGAAAGGCGATGGCAAACCTAGACAGTGTCTTAAAAAGCAGAGACATCACCTTGCCAACAAAGGTCCATATAGTTAAAGCCACGGTTTTCCCAGTAGTGATGTATGGAAGTGAGAGCTGGACCATAAAGAAGGCTGATCGCTGAAGAATTGATGCTTTTGAATTATGGTGCTGGAGGAGACTCTTGAGAGTCCCATGGACTGCAAGAAGATCAAACGCATCCATTCTTAAGGAAATCAGCCCTGAGTGCTCACTGGAAGGACACATCGTGAAGCTGAGGCTCCAGTACTTTGGCCACCTCATGAGAAGAGAAGACTCCCTGGAGAAGACACTGATCCTGGGAAAGATGGAGGGCACAAGGAGAAGGGGGCAACAGAGGACAAGATGGTTGGATAATGTTTTCAAGGATACCAGCATGAGTTTGACCAAACTGCGGGAGGTAGTGGAGGACAGAGGTGCCTGGCGTGAATGGTCCAGGGGGGTCACAAAGAGTCGGACACGACTAAACAACTAAACAACAACAATCAAGTGAAGTCTGCTAGAGATGGAGGCAGCTGGATGGATGGAAAGTATCTTTAGAAAGTATTCTGCTCTTGACGCCACACTTTTTCCTCTTCTATCTTGCCGCTCATTTATTTCAGAGACTAGCGCAGGCATGGGCAAACTCCGGCCCTCCAGATGTTTGGGACTGCAATTCCCATCATCCCTGACCACTGGTCCTGTTAGCTAGAGATGATGGGAATTGTAGTTCCAAACATCTGGCGGGCTGGAGTTTGCCTATGCCTGGACTAGCGAGTTTCTTGGTGCGTAAATGCTAGTCTGGAATGCCTGCCAACTTGAAAAATATTCATTGCAAAGAATATGCTGAATCTGAGTCAACTTTAAAGATCGCAAGAAAGAACCACGTGTTTAAATGTTTTTGTTGCGGTGACAGAAAACAGTGTCACAAAGAGGCCACAAAAAATCTCAAAAGACCATGCTTCCTTAAATTCTGCAAACAACCGAAAGCTCCAGTCTCATACCTGCGTCATCGGAACACACATGTGCTCAGAGCTGGCACACCAACACATGCACCAGGCAAAAACATTCCTCTTCAACCAAGCTTTGGGCTGACTAACATCTTATATTCCTTTAAATTTCTTTGGTTTTGCATTTGTTCTTGTTTTCATTATGTATTTTATGTTTTTATCTCGCATTTTTGTGCTGTGAACCACCCTCAGATCTACGGAGGAAGTATGTGGAACAGGTCTCGGTGTTTCGATTTCTGGGAATGGAGTTAAGAGATGACCTAACCTGGGGAGAAAACAGTAAAGACCTGATGAAGAGGTTATATTTTCTGAGAACCCTGCGCAAAAACAATCTCTCAAAGGACCTGTTGATGGCATTTTACCATTGTACTGTGGAGAGTGTATTAACTTATGGTCTGTGTGTGTGGTTTGGGAGCTGCACAGCCAGGGGAAAAACAATGCTGTCCAGGGTTGTAAAGACTGCAGAGAGAATAAGTGGGTGAACTCTTCCCACCTTGGATCAAATCTATGCTTCCAGGTGCCATAAGAAGCTGCAGAGATAGTACAGGATAGTGCGCACCCCGGAAATGATCTCTCTCTCTTTTTTTTTTATAAAGATTTTTATTCAAAGTTTTCAACATATATAAAAAAGAAAAAGAACAAGAATAAACACACAATAGAAAAAAACATCCAAAAAAGATAAAAAACATATAACCTCCTAGTCAGAACCTTGCTTTCATAACCATTCGAACTTCCTCACATCTTTCGTTCCTGCTTTCCAAATTTGAGAAATTCTAGAGAGCAATTTATCACCTTGTTTCAGATACGTATTTGTATTTTCCAATTACTATGTTTCCCATTTTAGATTAACCTCCCAAAAACTTAAAACCTTGATTTGAACATAATATTATTCAATAATTTACTTTAACTCAAATTTCACCATACTCTCACGTTTTTTTTAACTAATTTACTGATGCCACCCTTATTTTTACTCTTTCATCCTCTTAACATTCATACAGTTTACAGTATTTTTGAAGATAATCCTTGAAATGATCTCTTTCAGCTTCTGCCTTCTGGAAGAAGGTCCAGGGTTATAAAGACCAGGACTAGCCGCCTGAGAAACAGTTTCTATCCAAATGTGATTTTGGTTTTAAACGCAGTGTAAGGTAATCTCTGGGGGAGTATATTGTATTTAATTATGGGGGATCAGAGTTTTTAGGGCGCTAACCAGGTTGGGACAGCAGGCTTGTTGGTTTTGAATGCCTAATGTAGATTTTTTCAATTTTGTTGTTCTGTATGGGATAATGACAATAAAGATTATCGTATCTTATTGGAAGGGCAGCATGCAAATTTAATACATAAAAATAATACATAATTAATCAACAATTAACAAGGGCTATGCTTGCTGGGGCCAGTGGAACTATTAGGTCAAAGGCCCATGAGTTTACCATAGTGCTCTCAAGATACATGTGGGATCTGAACACAAGAGCTGTCTCCCCTCCTATTACTTCCAGGGATTCTGAAGAATTTACTGTCTCCCACTGTGGGAGCACAGCCACCATTGTTAGTAGCCATTGATGAACACAAGGAGAGCTTGCAGGATCAGGCCCACGGCCCATCTAGTCCAGCATCTCCCAGTGCCTGCTGGAAACAAGCAGGAATCCCTCCACGAATCTGTCCAGTCCTCTTTCAACACTCTTAGTTTGTGGCCCTCGCTGCCTCGTGTCTTGTGGGAGGGAGTTCCACAGTTTAACTCTACCGCTGAGAGAAGAAGGACTTTCTTTGCTTTGCCCCAGCTGCGCTTGAGGCTCCATCCCCGCCTTTGCCAGCCTGCCGAACCGCCAGGTGGAATCCCAGCACACCTGGCGGAGCGCAGGTGAGGGGGAAAGCAGTACACCTTAGCGACCGACTGCCCCGTCCTCAGGCGCCGTCTAGTCCAGCCAAGCGGCCCCCTTGCTGCTGCTGTTTTCACAGCCTAGGCACGCTTCCTCGGGAGTAAGCTCTTCCACCCCAGGGCAGCGATGAGGTGGAAATGACTCTTCCTGCAGTTGACCTCGAAGTCCGGCGCGCGTCTCCGCTAATCCACAGCGGCTCGCGGCGCCTCTCGACGGGGGTGCTTTGTCCCCCGATGCCCCTTCCCCGTCGGGGGTGTTGCTTGAGCCGGACCGATCCTGTGGATCCGAGGCCCGGGCGCCTCCAAGGGCCGCCTGCTCCCCTCTCCCCGCCCCCGCCCGTCCATCATCCCACCTGGGTCAATTGCCTTCCCCAGGCGTGGCCAAGGATCTGCCCCTAACTACGTCGGTCAACGCCCCCCGGGGTCCCCAGCACATATAAGGGCCGGCCACAATCCAGACGCTGCACCATCCATCCTGGTCACCCGGACTTTGGGAACCCTCAGCGCCGCCCGTCCCCGCGAAGAACCGCTCCTCGTGCCCGACGTCGACATGGAGCCTCTACAGGTCCCGAGCCGCCAGCCCGAGACGCCCCCCGACACGCCGCCGACGCCGCTCCTTCCAGCAGCAACCCCGGGTCCCGAGCTGGCGCCCCGGCTGGCGCAAGGCTCGTCCGCCCCGTCGAGGGCGCACAAGAAGAAAGCGTACAGCCGGCACTCGAAACCTCCCTACAGCTACCTAGCCATGATTGCCTTGGTCATCCAACGGTCCCCGGAGAAGAGGCTGCAACTAAGACAGGTGAGCGCACCTGCTGGGAAGCGAACCCGCTTGCTTGCGCGTTGCGCACGGGAGCCGTCGGGCCGGTCCAGCTGGCCAGAAAGAGGGTTGCGGGCTTGGGGTCGCCTTCCCTGTCGGTGCTCTCCTCCCGGAGCGCAGCGGGGCCGCCTTTATGGGTTTTGCTTTCCCGGGAGCCCGCCGGTCCCAGAGGCTTTTCAGCCGTCGGGGGACGCGGCGCGTCGGGCTGCCGTGAAAAGCAGAGGGGCGGCGGGTTGCGCGCGAAGTGGGTGGCTGGACGGGGCGGCCCTCGCGGGCTTGCGGGGCCGCAGACGCTGCTTGCCTCTTCGGCTGTGCGAGGAGGAGGAGAAGGGCTTCCGACGACGCCCTGAACTTAAAAAAACCCTTTTCTCTTTCTCTCTTAGATAGTGGAGGATATCCAGGGCCTCTTCCCGATTTTTAGCGACAGCTACCAGGGCTGGAAGGACTCGATTCGACACAACCTCTCCTCCAACCCCTGCTTTCGGATGGTACGTGTTAGTAGTGCTGAATTTTAACATTTTAATGCATTTTAACGTTTCAATGTTGTATTTTAATCTTGTTTTTAAGTTGTATTCATTCAACTTGTTTTTATTATTGCTTGTTAGCCGCCTTGGCTAGGGAGGGCGGGGCATAAATAAATTATTATTATTATTATTATTATTATTATTATTATTATTATTAAGTCTTAATGCTAATAATGATGATGATGATGTAGTGTGATACATAAGGCAAATGTTTTTAGGACGCACCTTACCTGTGTGGCTGCAAGTGGTTTTAAATGTGTGTGCAATGTTGTGTTTTAATGCAATAACCCTGGGACCTGGGCTTGATGGGTGAGTCGGATGATAAATAATAAAAGTCTGTGTGAAGGGAGAGTGGGAGGGATGTTGGGCAAAGTTGTGGGGGGAGAGCTCAGAAGGAAGGGAGGATGCTCTGAGGAAAAAGAAAGAAGAGAAGGAGGACCAGTTTCCTTAGAATTATTCCTTTTTCCCTCTCTCCAGCCTGCTGCCTCCGTCCTCCCTCTACCTGCATCCCAGGTGTTGGGGGCTGCAGGTGGGGACGGGGCCCTTCTGTTTTGCTCATGCCTGGCTTGGGGCAGCCTTCTGGCCGCTGTAAGAACAGGAGGCTGGACCAGATGCTCTGATCCAGCTGCTGAAAAACTCCTGGAGGCAGACCTCACTTTGGTTCCAGCCGGAATGGCTAGTGGTCAGGGGGATTTATAGTCCGAAACCCCTGCCAAGGCAACAGGAGGATGAGGAAGGCTGTGGGGTGTGGGTCATCCTGGGGGGGAGAGAGAGAGAGAGAGAGAGAGAGAGAGAGAGAGAGTGTCCAGAGGCTTGACTTGGTCATAGAAAGCAGTTTCAAATCTTCGTAAGGGTTCAAATTCTTCCAATTTGCATCCTGCTCTTCCTCCAAAAACAGCTCTGGTCCCCACAAGTTGCCAACTAGCTGTGTCCAGGATGCTGCCCATGTGGGGGGTTGGGAAAAGGTCTAGGGCTGTGAAGGTGGGAGGGGGGCAGGGAGTGTGGGGAGGAGAGGGAACAGTGGGATTTAAAGAGTTTCCCAACGGGTTTTTGCTGAGCTGCCTCCTTCGCCAGCCTCGTCCCCTCAGGTGTTTGCGGACTACAAATCCCATTAGCAGATGGGAGTTTGTGGTTGTCCCAGGCCAATTTGCATTTCACATGGCAAACCTTCCCTCTCCTTCATCCCCTCAAGAGGTTTGAATTGAATCCTTGAGGGAAAGGTGCAGTTAGGTTGCTTTTTTTGCAAGGGGGTGTATTTATATAGAGAAAGGGGTCCTCGGTCTTTCTACCTCCCCACCAGGTAAAAAGACCAGCACGCCTTGAGACTGCTGGAAATTACTGAGGTCACAAAATGGTGGTGCAGGATCGGGGCCAGCCACAAGATGGGGGCAGAGGTTTTGCCATCCCCTTCTACGACATCTAATCCAGGGTTTCCCAAACTTGGGTCTCCAGCTGTTTTTGGACTATAACTCCCATCATCCCTAGCTAGAAGAATCAGTGATTGAGGTGGATGAGAATTGTCCAAAAACAGCTGGAAACCCTTAAATCCATCATTGGAAGTTCTTGGGTTGTTTATCCTTTCCTTGTGGCAAGGAGTTCCGCAGCCATGCTTCACACATTGAGAAACCCTGTGGTATGGGGGAGTTGGGGGCAGCAGGGTCTTCTCCAAGCTGGTGCTCCAGGTGTATTGCCAGGTCTTGTGAATGGGGCAGGTGGGAGTTGGGAGTTGCAAGTGAGTGCCGGGTTAGAGAAGACTGAATTGGAGAACTGTAACCTTTATTGCTTGAAATTGTGGGGAAGGGGGAGGAGAGATGAAGAGGGGAATGTGACCTTTTACATCCCCTCACCAGAGTCGGTCACGACTGGACCTAATGGTCAGGGGTCCCTTTACTTTACTTTACTAGGTTTGAGAAGTGAGTGTGTTGTTGTTGTTAATTAACCACCTAAATATTACAGGACGTTCATAAGAACGTAATAAAAACCTTTATTTTATCTCTCCTGTTTCTCCAGTATTCAGTTTTCTAGCATGTCCATGAGTATTAGGAGAGGGGGAGAAAAACTTACCTCTATCCATTTTCTAAATCCCACGTATAATTTTACAAACTTCAGTCAAGTCGCCGCCTCTTGCCTTTTCTCTGAACTAAAATGTCCCAAAAGCTGCAACCTTTTTTTTGTTAGGGGAATTGCTTCTAGGGGGCTGTATGTACAAGTGGGGCTCACGGAAAGACGATAGAAATTTCTATTACTATTAAATTTTGTATGCCAGCCTATACTCGCAGGTCTCGGGGCGGTTACAACATAGAAGCACAATACAGTTTCAATCTGTGTGATGAAGTCTCTCTGATTCTTCAGCTGCTGTTCCTTCATTGCAGGGGGTTGGTCTGGATGACCTCAGGGTTCCTCTACCATTCGATGGTTCTATCCCTCAACTCCCACCCGCTTACAGTGCCTCTTCACCCCACCCCGCTTTTGTTGCAGGAGCTGAAAGACCCCTCGAAAGCCAACAGCAAGAGGAACTACTGGTCCGTGGACGTCACCTTGATACCCCCGGAGGCATTAAAACTCCAAAATACCCTTATCTCGCGCCAGGACGAAGCGCGCTGGGTCCAGGACTTGACCCCTTACGTCGTCCATGGATCCCCTTACCCACCGCCTACGGGCCTCCCCCGGGCACAGACCCCCGAGCGCTGCCCGGGAAGGCTCGTTTCTCATGGACAACATCCTGCGGACCTCGCCCTCGGACCCCGGAGCCAGAAGTCGAAGCCTCAAGACGTCGCCCTCCACCTCCTGGGCATCCCTGGACTGTGGGGGCAACGTCTTCCCCAGCCCGGACCCCTCCTTGCCTTCCCCTCAGGAAGGTAGCCTGCTGGCAGCCCCCCCTGCTTTGGCCGGCCCCTTGCAGACCCCAGACTCGCGGTGCTATTCCCTGGGCAGGTACCCCGCCACGCCCTGGGGTCATCTGCCCATGTGCTGCAGCAGCGCCATGCCCCCCTCTCTGGCAGGCCAGGTCCCCTTCCAGGGACTGTTGGCCCCCCCATCAGCACTGCCCTGCCTCTCGTGCTGCTGCCAACGTGCCCCCCAGGCTGCTTCCTGGGGTCCCTTGGCCTCTCCACACAGCCCTCTGCCCCCACATCCCTTCCCTTCCCCAACCCCCTTCCTCCCTCCCCCCATTTGCTGTAGTTGGTGTCAGACACAATTGCCCCCACCCCACTGATGGGACGGGCTGCCCCCCTTGGAAAGGGGTCTGGCCAGCTTCCCCCCCCCCCCCTTCGTTTCAACCAGAGTACTTGGCGAACGTCGCATTTTATTCCGTATGGATTTTAAGGACCTTAATATGAAAATGGGGGGGGGTATTTAAGTAATAAGATCCATGGTGGACACTTGCACACACACTCCCCCACCACACAAATTTATATATATATATATTTTGAAAGCCAGGCAGCTCCCGCGGGTCTTGAACCACCGGAAGCGATTGGGGGGTCTGTGCAATGCTTTGTTCGATGGAACCGCTGAGCTGGGCTAAGCTGGCTCCATAAATAAAGTTTTTAACTGTTTTTTTTTTATCTGTAAGCTGCCTGCAGTCCAGCTCTGGACTCAAGAAATTGTTATGTAGAGCTTTGTTTGTAAAGGAAAACCTCAGGTAGTTTGTAAGAGGAATAAAATGGGGAGGGGAAGCCCCCCTCCCCTGCAATAAAATAAGCACTATAACTGGACTTCCTTGTTTCTTGGGTTGATTCTCGCCCCCGCCCCCCCCCAGTGAAGCTGCTTCTCTGGCCTGAAAAAAATTAAAAACACTTTCATTCTCTGTCCTTTTAAGCAAGGAGATCAAGCTGGTTTTAACTCCCTGCTCATTCACAAGGTCGACAGCCAGCCTTGGCCAGCTTTTTATTTTACCTTTTTCTGAGCATTTCCTGTCATTTTGGTGGCCTAACTGTACTATTTTTTCGCTCCATAAGACGCACTTTTTTCTTCCTAAAAAGTCAGAGGAAATGTCTGTGCGTCTTATGGAGCAGATGCGGGGTCCCTGGAGCCGAATTGCTCAGGGGAGAAAAGCAGATTGTGCTTTCTTTCTTTTTTTGAAAGAGGGAAGGGGGTGTTGAAACAAAGCCGCTGATTGCAAGCGATTGGGAGGGAGATAAGGGAGGCTAGTGATAAAGGAGGCTGCCTGGGAGCGGGGAGGAAAAGACAGCGAACTTGCAAGGAGAGGAGACAGGAAGACTAAAGCAATGAGGAGAGAAATTAGAAGAAAAGGAGGAGCAAAAAACTGTTCCAGCTAAGGAAAAGACCCTAAGGCAAACAAGAGGGAAGGGAATGTTGAAAGGAAGCAGCTGATCGGCAAGCAATCGGGAGGGAGATAAGGGACTCTAGAGATAAGGGAGGCTGCCTGGGAGTGGGGAGGTAAAAGCCCATGGATCCTCTGGATTTTTACATTGGGTCACCCCAAATTCACCATCAGATCACATAGCTACAGCCTGCACACAAAAAGCCCCACGCATCCACTGTTTCGTGGGGCCGCAATGGTGCAAAAACGTGGTTACAAAGCACGGATCCACCTGGATTCTCAGGATTTTTGCATTGGGCTACCCCAAACTCACCATCAAATCACATGTCTGTGGCCACGGCATGAACCACAAAAATCATCCATCCACTGTTTCATTCAGAATATTTTTTTCCCCTTGTTTCCTCCTCTAAAAACTAGGTGCGTCTTTTGTTTGTGGTTAATTGCAAAGGAAGGGGGCTGTTTGGGGTCCTAACATTTATTTTCAGCTCAAGGTGGCATGATGCCTACTTCCCCATCCTCACAACAACCCTGTGAGGTTGAGAGGCAGAGACTGGCCCAAGGCCAAACCCAGTAAGCTTCAGGGCTGAGTGGGGATTTGAACTCAGATCTCCCAAATCCAAGTCCAGCACTGACCACAATACTGCTTTGGCGCTTGCCCCTCACACTGGTGGCCTTGAGATGGGAAGGCTGGCCTTTGTTTTGCTTTGTGCATGGACTGGTTAAGCTTTTTGTACATCCCTGGAGGCAGTGAGAGATTTCACTTTCTTGGGCTCCTTGATCACTGCAGATGGTGACAGCAGCACGAAATTAAAAGACGCCTGCTTCGTGGGAGAAAAGCAATGACAGGCCTAGACAGCATCTTAAAAAGCAGAGACATCACCTTCCCAACAAAGGTCCGTATAGTTCAAGCTATGGTATTCCCAGTAGTGATGTATGGAAGTGAGAGCTGGACCATAAAGAAGGCTGATCACCGAAGAATTGATGCTTTTGAATTCTGGGGCTGGAGGAGACTCTTGAGAGTCCCATGGACTGCAAGAAGATCAAACACATCCATTCTGAAGGAAATCAGCCCTGAGTGCTCACTGGAAGGACAGATCCTGAAGCTGAGGCTCCAAGACTTTGGCCACCTCATGAGAAGAGAAGACTCCCTGGAAAAGACCCTGATGTTGGGAAAGATGGAGGGCACAAGGAGAAGGGGGAGACAGAGGACGAGATGGCTGGATAGTGTTTTCGAGGTTACCAGCATGAGTTTGACCAAACTACGGGAGGCAGTGGAAGACAGGAGGTCCTGGCATGCTCTGGTCCAGGGGGTTACATGGCTAAATGACAACAAAATTGTATTTTGGCTGCCCCCCAAAAAACCCTCAGCTCTCCTTGAATGACCCACAGAGGCAGGCGGAGGGGGAAGCCCCCTCCCCTCAGAATGGGCCACCAGTTGTAAGTAGATGCTTTGCAAGGTGATCAAATCAGTAGCCGCCACAAGAAAATTGACTCAGTCGGGTGTGGCAACTGAGCAGGTGAGGCTAATTAAAGGATGCAGTGAGAGATCAGGGCTGCCAGCCCAAAGCTCTAAAGGAGGTAAAGGGTAAAGGGACCCCTGAGCATTAGGTCCAGTCGTGGCCGACTCTGGGGTTGCGGCGCTCATCTTGCTTTATTGGCCGAGGGAACCGGCATACAGCTTCTGGGTCATGTGGCCAGCAGGACTAAGCTGCTTCTGGCGAAACCAGAGCAGCGCACGCAAATGCCATTTACCTTCACGTTGGAGCGGTACCTATTTATCTACTTGCACTCTGACGTGCTTTCGAACTGCTAGGTTGGCAGGAGCAGGGACCGAGCAACGGGAGCTCACCCCATCGCGGGGATTCGAACCGCTGACCTTCTGATCGGGAAGTCCTAGGCTCTGTGGTTTAACCTACAGCACCACCCACGTCCCTGCTCTAAAGGAGACCCAGGTTCAAATCTGCTGTGCTCCATCACTTCTTCATAAGATATTTTTGCAGGCTTCTTTTTTTTAATTTTTTTACTCGAGCATGTATTAGGATTTTAAAGTGGACATGCACCTGCCTAGGCTCCAGGGGTGGCCAACCTGTGGACCTCTTGATGGAGAACCATAAATATCATCCCCAACCCTAGTCCTAGCCTATGTTGGCTGGGGCTGATGGGAGTTGAAAATGTATTTTTCTACAACAAAGCAGTTGCATATTCCCGTATAAATGTGATTAGCATCAATGTCGCAGAAGCAACCCCCATCTTATTCCTAAATTAGAATTTAAGAACCCTACTGGATCAGACCCATGGCCCATCTAGTCCTGCATCCTGTTCTCACAGTGGCCAATCAGGTACCCATTATGGGATGCCAGCAAGCAGGATTCGAAAACAGGAGTGCCCTCCCTTCCTGTGGTTTCTAGCAACAAATTCAGAAGCATGGCTGCCTCCAGGGGCGCAGGCCCAGCAAACCCCAGAAGGGATTTCTTTGTGTGTGTCCCAAATCTCCCGCTTGGACTACTGCAATGCGCTCTACGTGGGGCTACCTTTGAAGGTGACCCAGAAACTACAACTAATCCAGAATGTGGCAGCTAGACTGGGGACTGGGAGTGACCGCTGAGACCACATAACACCGGTCTTGAAAGACCTACATTGGCTCCAAGTATGTTTCCGAGCACACTTCAAAGTGTTGGTACTGACCTTTAAAGCCCTAAATGGCCTCAAAGGCCCAGTAGACCTGAAGGAGCGTCTCCACCCCCATCGTTCTGCCCGGACACTGAGGTCCAGTGCCGAGGGCCTTCTGGCGGTTCCCTCATTGCGAGAAGCCAAATTACAGGGAACCAGGCAGAGGGCCTTCTCAGTGGTGGCACCCATCCTGTGGAACTCCATCCCACCAGATGTCAAAGGAAAAACAACTACCAAACTTTTAGACGACATCTGAAGGCAGCCCTGTTCAGGGTAGCTTTTAATGTTTGATGCATTACTGTATTTTAATGTTTTGTTGAAAGCCGCCCAGAGTGGCTGGGGAAGTGCAACCAGATGGGCAGGGTCTAAATAATAAATTATTATTATTATTATTTTATTATTATTATTATTATTATTATTATTATTATTATTATTATTATTATTATTATTTATTATTATTATTATTATTATTATTATTATTATTATTATTATTATTATTATTATTCCAACATTCAGCATCATGGGATATCCTCAAGTTCTAGCGTTAAAAGAAATTGTGGTGTTCAAACTGCAGCCGCTCTGGAGTATTTCGTCTGATTTTCTTTTATGGGGAATATCGAGGAGCTGCTTGTTTCTTTGCTCCAACGCAGGGTTTGTCAAACTGCACATGCAAGGCCTACTTTGAGACAGCTGGCGAGGGAAGGAAGGCAGAGCCAGCCACAGAAAAGAGAGAAAATCACCTGGCAATTAATATGGATTGTACTTTGGTCTGCTATCTAATCCACCCGTCTCTTAGTTAATCACATTGGACGTCTCCCCTTCCCACCCCACATGCCTCACAAAGCATTTTAAAAACTGGTTCCCTGAAACCACTTCTCCCATTTCTCATTAACCACAAACCCTGGAATTTGGGGTCCCCTCCAAACCTCTGCCAATATCTGCAGCTGTTTTGTCAGGTCTGATAGCATGAGCGCAGCATTTTGTAGGGCCTCCTGGTACTCGGACTGAAGTCCTAGGGGTCCCCCGAACCCAACCTGTTATGTACTGAAGTTCTCACCCTGGGCCAGCAGGGGGATACTGTAGATAGTTATGCAAATAAGGGATCGAAAGTGATGTTCAGTGATTGGATAGTTACAGAAAATGGTTACAGTTGCGTTGTAGTGGAGCTCTATATAAGCAGGCTGACTGAACCCTTCAGCCCAGTTCTGTTCTGGCCTGTGAATAAACAAGAGCTGTTTGAAGAATCGCTGTGTTGTCTGATATGTTCGCCCACAACTTAGAATCATAGAGTTGGAATAGACCACAAGGGCCATGGAGTCCAACCCCCTGCCAAGCAGGAAACACCATCAGAGCACTCCTGACATATGGTTGTCAAGCCTCTGCTTAAAGACCTGCAAAGAAGGAGACTCCACCACACTCCTTGGCAGCAAATTCCACTGTCGAACAGCTCTTACTGTCAGGAAGTTCTTCCTAATGTTTAGGTGGAATCAGGGACGCGGACTTATAAAAAATATTGGGGGGGCCCGGGAAAGCTCATGAATATGCAAATAAAGTGGCTCCGGCCCTAAATAGGGCAAGCCACGCCCCCCCAGCCAGCCAATCGGCTGGCTGGGAGGTGTGGCCAGTCGGGATTCCCCTGTTCTCGCGGGGGCCAGGAGGAAGGAAATTCCCCCCGGCAGTGCCTTGGCAGTGGCGGTGGTGCTGCGAAGCAGCGAGGCAGGAGCCCCCGCCCCCGGGGATTCCCTAATCTCGCGGGGGACGGCCGGGGCTCTCCGACTAGGGCGCGCGGCTGGCTGGCTGGCTGGCGAGGGAGCAGGTGGAGAGGAG